AAATAAAAAATTAAATCTAATGAAATTAACCAAAAAGAACTAAAGAAGTATCATAATTATAACTTATCCATCCTATCTTATTTGACATTTTAACTAGTGTCCTATTTTGCAGTCATACTTTAAAATAAAGATGATTGGACAAGGAGAGAGTATGGTCTAAATTACAAAATAAAAAAAAAATAAATTATTTAAAAATTAATTTTATGCAGTTTAAATTACATAGCAAATTTTTATTCTAACCATCTCATTCTTAAAAATACGGTTGAAGTTATAATTACATGATATAATTTTTTTTTTAAATAATTTATCAAAGACGAGTTCGAACCCACCAAAAGAGAGGGGAGGGAGAATGCATCATAATATAGCAAGATGTCACTTAACTCAAAAAGTCTAGTGTATTACATGATATAATTTTGTTAGAACTATTAATTTGAATTATAATTTTATTAATTTATTATTTTTAAATAATTAATTATAATATTTAAAGATATTTATTTTTGAATTTATTTACTTTAGTTTATTAAATAATAAATATTAATTATTTTAAGATATTTTTACCTATACTTTAAATTTATATGTTAAGAATATCATTTTGGTATTAATTATTATTAAAATAATAAATTTTGATATTTATTTAATCAATCATTTAATTAAAACGATATATGTAATATTGATGATAAAATTAACAATAATTTTTATTATCTTTATATTAATTAATATAAAAATACATTAATTATACTTTTAACCTATAACACAAGTTAAATAAATTTATTATGTTATTAATTATTAATTTTTTAACAATTAAATTAAAATTTTAATAATTTAAAAAAAATTAATGGTAGTGATAACGTATAAAAACAAATATGGAGTACCCTCTGGCGGAGTATACAAAGATAGAAGTGACATTTAAGACTAATAAATTTGTCCTTGTTAGAAAAGGAAACAACGAAGAAACTTAATAAGAAAGTCGTAACACAAAAATAAAAATAAATTAATGCATCCAGCACCAGGTGTATTGTAGAATGCAGTGCAGAGGGAGATGCCGGTACCTTACTGTCATGCACTTTTGGCGCGACTCGTCGGTAATTGAGAAAGGATCAAAGGAATTGTAAAGTTGTTCTCTTTCTCACTCCATTTTAGATCTGCGTTCTTTCACTAGGGTTTTTCCTTTTCCCTGTTTGGAATTTTGGATTCAAGATTCTACCCCCCCCCCCCCC